CGTGTCAGTGTAATAGAATGAAACGCATCTGTGATTTGGCGCACAGTCTGTGACGTCACGGTATTGAAAATCATACCGACGGGATTTCGAAATACCCTGGTATACCGTAATACCGTCATACCGCCCAAGCCTAGTACGTATACCGTTACACCCCTAGAAGATACATAAAAGAAAATCCGTTTGCTAATATATTTTGAGATAGCCTCAGTATTCCAAACAAAATAAATATTATCTTTTTGTTGTTTTATATTTCATTAGTTTTTGAATTTCACTTTGGCTACAGGTAGGGTTCACACTGTAATTTAGGATTTAAAACCAAATGTAACTTTTACAATACAATTATATATTTTTTATTGTATTCATTTCAACTAATAACTTGAGTTTCCTAATATCGAAGAGCCCAACGTGACGTCTTTAATGTCTTGTGTCTAACCAACAATCCAAAAATCTAAACATTATCATTTCAATTGACAAAAAACAGAATCCTCACAACAAATGTTTGCCATTTTTCAATAAAAAATAATTCCTTAAACAATACTCGGGTATTGAAAGATTTCAGTCAATTGACTCAATCAACCTAATCATTCTAATTGGTTTTAATTAACAAATGATTCACTCTCTTAAAGATCTGCTGTAACTCCAACCTAATGAAATGTGCAATTACATGTAGTCAGTTTTTTTATATGTTTTCATTTTATTCAGTTGATTTTGTAATAATCTATATATAATTCAGATTTACAGCTCCCGCAGTGAGCACCATAGTCAACTCAAAAGCCCAGTGTGGTTGATTTTAGTGATGAAACACCTGCACTATTCCTTAGACAGGAGGAATTGAATGTGTGTGATTGGCTGTTTAATAAAGTTTTATGTATGTCCTTTTGTTGCAGTGCAAGTTTATCAGTTAATCTCTGTATGAAACTATTTTCTATCCCAAATTCATGAGTAAATGATTTTCTATTAAAATGCAATGATCCCTTGTGTACAGAACTATCAAGTTTTTCCCAGTTACATGTGCTGTTAGATTTGTATAAGTACAGCCTGTAATTCCCAGATTATCCCACTAGATGGCCCTGCAGCCTTTTTAACTCTGCTCCTCTTTGCACTTTTGAGCCATGCATTTGGGATGCCACGCAGTAATAATAATAATAATAATAATAATAATCCTTATATTTATTATAATGCTTTATCAATGACTCAAAGCGCTTTACAAATACACATTACATATACAGATCATACATACATGTAATGGTCATCTACTGTGGACAATACCCACAGGAGCAAGTTCAGGTGAAGTGTCTTGCCCAAGGACACAACGGCTTTACAGACGCAGCGGCGGCGGGTTTCACCCCCTTGATCAATGCACTGCGCCACACCGCCCATCTTCACACCTCAAAGTCAACGAGGCGCTTTTACAAGTACACATTGATATTATACATGTACTGTGGACAATAGCCACAGGAGCAAATTCGGGTGAAGTGTCTTGCCCAAGGACACAACGGCCTGAAGCAGTGGGGCGGGAGCCGGTTTCAAACTGGAGTTCCCCAACACCCCCTTGATCTGATGATCCCCAACACCCCCCTTGATCTGATGATCAAACGCACAGACCACTGCGCCACCCGTCCCAGTGTGAGGCCATCACAGAAGGTGTGTTTAAAGAGGCTGCCAGAGTGACACAGTAATAGGAAATCAATTATGCTGGGACTGTATGTCCTGGCGAGAGCGTGGGTCTCAGCCTCGGACAATTGGGTCTCATGCATAATAGCAGCACACCCACTGACATCGATACCAGATTTGTGTGGAAAGCAGACAGGGCCTGTGTGATCAACAGCCTGAAAGTATGCCAACAAACGTAGATGATACAAGTTAAATCCCAGTCAATCAATTGGGGAAATAATGATCCCTGTGTACGTTCAATAAGGTGTGGGAGCGCCGCCATGGCCCCCAACAATGCCTTGTGATTGAACTGAGAGGTAAATGTCATGTAAATGAAATCAATCGCGATTAGACGAGGAAGCTCATTAGCCTGCTACAATTCTGTCAAGAGCGCTTATTCCCATGATGGAGCGTCTTAAGCCGCATGTACATACAAATCGAATAAAAGCCGTGTTGAGGAGCTTGTCAAATACTAGTCTGTGTAATAACATTAAATGTTGTGACACTCGTAATCAGTGCAGAGTTGATGATGGAAAGAGACCTTTTGACAGCAAATCCTCTATAACCCCTTCATCGCTACAAGGCCATGAAGGGTTTGCAATATGGTGATATGCAATTCAATTGGATGCAGCCACCATGACAACAAAGCAGCGTGAGATGAGACCTCGTCAGAGTAGACCCAAGTGGCCGTCAGTTTTACAGCCACTCCAAAGAGCGTCATGTAATACCCCCGGTTGCTTTCTTTTAACTCCTGGTCCAGTGGTGAAGCGTAGGAAAGGGGAAGCAGGCATTTGATGCTAGTTGCCACCCATCCATCGCACTTTGCTCCTCGCCTACCTCTAAAGGCTGTCAGTCCAGCCAGTTGCACCGGCCCCTGTTAAAGAAAGTCCCCTTAAGCATCTGTCAGTGGACTGACGGAGTGGAAGGAGTCTCTCTTGGCTGCCACTGCTGCAATGCTAAACCATCCAGGCAGCACCTCCCCTCCCGCTTCCGTTCTAAGTGGGCCTCATACATTTCACTTCCCCTTTTTTTCCCTTTTGTTTTTTGAGCACTCATCGTCTTCATGCATCAGTGTTGCAATGCAGGAACCGCTAAACGATTTGGCGTTGGGCTACACAAAGAACCAGGTGTGTTTCGGAAAGGAATGGATGCGGGAAGGGTTTTTCGGTGGCGCTCTGCTTCTAAACTTGGACCTCCTAAAGAGTCCTCGCGCACCTCCATCAACCGCGCCACTCGACACAAGAGGCCGCCTTTTATAAACCCTCTCATCCCTGCCTATTATGTTTTCAAACGGCTCCCTTTACAGTTTTCAAGAGGAACAGACAGACAGGTCTCAGAATGGCAAATTACCCCCGTGCATAGACAGGCACTGGATGATTATCATGGCAAGCTAACGACAGGCTGAGGAAGCTGCAATTTTCCAGTTGAAAGCAATGTTGAGTTTTTTTCCCCCCTCTCTTCAGAAAAGCAAGTGGCTCTCTACCCTTAACAGGCAAGTCTATCTGAGGAACTCTGCAAGCGGGGATGTGCCATCTGAGGGCATTTTGAAGTGTTTTTTAATGTGCGAGATGAGCGACAGCGGCGAATATTGAGCAATTTCGTATGCATGTGTTCCTGCGTTTCTCGGTGCGAGTATCATTTTCACAGGTTTCCCTTTTGTGAAGCGCTTTTTACCATCTGTGGGCTGGCTGTGGGCGAGCTCACAGGCTGGTGCTAGTCACCCGTTCCACGTCACTCTGGGATCAGGCCTAGCCAGTGGGTCATGTCGCGGAACAAAATGTCTCGCAAGCGTCCACAAAGCGCGGCGTGGAGCAAACTGTCCCTCACAGGTCCATCCGAGCATTGTGTGTCTGCGGTGCACGTTGAATTACACATTTGTCTGGTTTGGTGTGGGGTGAGTGCCAGTGCCATAGGTGAAGGAAATGTCCGTGTGTGTAGAAGGATATGAATGTGCTGTACCCATCTCATGTCCGCAGGATGCGAGCACAATGTATTATTATCTTTTCTGTCCCTCCTGAGGTGCGAGGTGCAGTTACCTGTGCAGCTCAGGTTGCCGGTCGATAGTTAATTTTTAGCGTGTTTGCAAAGATCAATAAAGCCCGGAGCAAGGCCCCAGGGCTCACAGCGATGCGGCCCGCGCCTTGTCAGCAGGTTCCGTGGCCGGCTTCATTTTACTTGAAGAGGATGCAGCTGTTCATACTGTATCTGCCAGCCTTACTTCACTTGGAGAGGTTGCAGCTGTTCATATTCTTTCTCTTGAGGTGTGTGTGTGTGTGTGTGTGTGTGAGACCTGAGTCAGGAGAACGGAGGATACTTTTGTACCGAACACATCGCCCTTAGGGTAGTTTTCCATCACATCCCTCACCTTCTGTATTGACTTCAGGAGACAAAGTGACTGAGAAGCTTTTTTTCTTCAGATTAAAAAAAAAAAAAAATTATATGCTGGGATCCAAAAAAGCTTTGAACAAGATCTTAATTAATACAAATTATCAACTTAATATAACGTGCATAAACAGATAATCAGAATAATCCAGCTATGACGAAGTTGCGGTCAACAAAAAACACAGCGACCCCCTCACACTCATTCATGGCTCCTACAGCAGTTTTCCATCACCTCCCTCACCTACCTTTTTGTTCTTCGTCCCCAGGGCTGTACTACGTCGACTCCGAGGGGAACCGGGTGTGCGGTGACCTCTTTGCAGTCGGCTCTGGCTCCATGTACGCTTACGGCGTGATCGATAGTGGCCTGCGACAGGACCTTACCGTGGAGGAGGCATGCGAGCTCGGCCGCCGCGCCATCTACCAGGCCACGTACCGTGACGCCTACAGCGGGGGGCAGGTCAACCTGTACCACGTCCACAGCGAAGGATGGACCAGGGTCTCCCAGGAAGACGTCCTCATGCTGCACCAGCAGTACAAAAGTCAGGCATAGTGCAGACCAGAAAGTGCAGAGAAAATAGGTCGGGTTCGGAGTTTATTCTAGTATCTGTTTAAATTGTTCCAAAATGTCCATAGGGTTGACACATGAATAAAAAAGGACTCAATTGATTTCCACTTCTGTGACCTTTCTTCATTTGTTGCTAGCTTCAAGCTTTATATTGTACATTTTTAACAATGCCAGCAAGCTCCACTCACCCCGCACTCGGTATGATTTGAGGTGCTGAAGCAAAGAAGAACGATGACTCAAACGTGCTTGTAATAAAGTGTGGGAGTAGTGTGGTGCTTGCCCTACATATGTACATTTAATTTGGATCCTACCCTGTGAATCTTCTTTCTCAATAAAACCTGTGATGTTCTTTTTTCCAAGAGCCTTTTCTTTGTTTGTCTTTTTACCTTGCAGGTTTAAAGATGGTAAATAGTTATCCCCAGAATGTACTTCTAACATAAACGTATATTCTTTTTGCATCATCTTCCTTTGATGTAGTCATTTTCCCGCCATTTCTGTTTACAGTTCAGTCTTCTGTTCCCCCAGATGTTGAGATTGGGAGGTACATCCTTGTTTTCTCTCATCTATATGTTCTGCAGTTATTAGCGGGGAGTAGCACTGTCTCAATAGCACTATTTAATTGCATACCACCAGCCTAAATAATTGTGCCTCCTGATTTGTAACAGTTTGTTTTCTTCCCTTCATTGATAATGTTCCTCTCACATTGCACAAAATACGTCTTTTAATTGGAAGTGGAAACGTATTATTTAATTCCTCTCCGACACACTTAGCTTCTCAACGCTCAGTGTAGTGTGCCACCCTGCCATGGTGTTTCACTATGTAACGACCCGCGCTTGGAAGTGTGTGCCCCTCCAACGGTTTTTATGGTTGGGAATAAACACTAATAAAGGGGATGGGGTAGACATTTGGAGCCAGTGCACTTTTCGAATCGTGGTTAAAAACTAGTTTCACAGGTGACTAGTTTGCAGATGGAATAGAAATGGGATGCCGATAAATGGAAATGAGCAGGTCCCGTCTGCGATGCTGCTCTTAGTAAATTAAGTGATGGGAATTGGACCATCAATAGAGGCAGAATGCTGAAATGGAGCAAATGTGGATTAAAGCATTAAGAATTTTTACAAGAGTTAAGCCATTAACCATCCTCCTGGGTTAAAGGGATTGATTGATGTGGGATTGTATAAAGTAGCTACTCATTAAAAGTGTGTATAGATGACGCACCCTTTTTGGAAAAGCGAAAGTATTTGCACTTCACAAATCAATGTAATGTAGCAGCAAAACATATTTTAAGCATCATAAAGGCCTAACTTAAACAAAATCAGTTACAGTGCACCCAATATGTAAAATAGTTTCACTGATAACATTAATGTCAGGAGGACCCTTCCAACAGGCAATGAAAGCAGTTACATACATCTAGGCGAGGAGCATACAAATAATGGACTCAGTTGCCTAGGTCAAATGTACCCATAATATCTTCCCTGTACCTCATTACTGAATTCAATTAAACTAAGAGGTGAACGGGCTAAAATACATTTGGCTTTGGCCCCTTTCACAGTACTATATTGCTTTGTTTCTCCTGTCTACCTCTTGAAATTAATGGTGGGTTGACCGCCATCCACTGTAAGTAACACTGACTATGGATAAGTACCTCATAGCCATCCACTGTAAGTAATCCCTTTAAGGGGTTAAAAGAGTCGTTTTCACAAACTGACTGAATAGGACCCTTCATTATATGCTCTGAAAAGTGGATAAAAGCTAGGTTCTGCAGCGCCATTAAATATCCAACGTTTTTCATTGTCATTTAAGTTTAGTGTAGGAAGCATTGCCTTGAAAAGAAAATCCAGGCTTTAAAAGGTTACAATTTTACTCTAATTGCTTGATTAGATACTATCTGAGAAAAAAGCACTGCGCAGCGTGTGCACCTGGAGCCGACTTCCAAATCTATTTTCATTCCAAAGAGCCATCTGTAGCTTAGACAAGAAACCAACACATTACTCATGAACATGCTAATTAAACAGCTACCAGTGGTAGGAAGTAACAAAGTACATTTACTCAAGGACAATGTCGAAGTACTTGTTCTTTACTTGAGTATACCATTAAATTCCACTTAATACTCCACACAATTTAAAAGGGATATAATGTAATTTTACTCCACGACTTTTATTAAACAGTTTTAGTTACTTTTCCGATTTTAATAATTTTAGTAATTTCCTATGATTCTGAAATGGGCCTCTAGGCGTAATAACTTCTTTTACTTTTGGTACTTTAAGTATATTTTGATGCCAATACTTTTCTACTTTACTTGAGTAACATTTTGAAAGCAGGACTTTTACTTGTATAATAGTATTCCATGTACTTCTACTATTACTTAAGTACAAGATCAGAGTGATGATTTATTATAATTATTAATATGAACATTTTGGTTAAACATATACATATTATTATGAATATAGATAAATACTGTATTCTAACAATAAGGTATTCTGTTTTTCACATTTTTTTTTTTTTAACATTTTTTTAATCTGTTCGAAATAAAGATGGAAATTAAATGAGAGTACTTCTCCCACCTCTGAGAGCTACTGACAAGCTGGATGGAGGATTGATCCGTCACTTCAGGGTGGCTGTCGTTGGGAAAATATGGTGACATCTATTTGATACTTTCTATGTAATGTAAGTGAGAATGTTTTCAAGCTTTTCTTTGTCTCTTTTTTTAAATTCCTAAATTCTGCAGTCCCGTTTTAGCTATGCGATCTGCCAATGGATGGATGGCAGTTTCCTGTTGTCATTCAGACCACACTTTCCAATCTGAACATCTCGTTTTGTACAGACATCAATGGTCTCTAAAGAAAAATATGTTATAGACTTTCTATATCGCTTATATATCAAGTGTTACTCCTACCAGCCCTGCAACACATATTAAACTGGCGTAAAATGCACTTAAAATGATTGTGTATTGAGGAAAGTATCGTATTCCAGTCATAAACAGGAATGGTACTAAAGCATGTATTCAAACGACTTTTTGAAAGGCCTGCAAATGTATTCATCTTTTTTTTCTTTCTTTAAAGCAAATGTTGTGTTGAAGGGGATGTGTCCATCAGTCTACCAAATGATCTTATAGCATAGTATATGTAAATTACATTACACATAAGAATGACTGGAAGCCTGTTGATTCACTATAGCCACGATTGTGACTCATGTTCAGCAATAGCAAAGCCCACACAAAGTATGATTATTTGGAAAGTACTCACATGAAAAAAGATGTGTAAACATTAGGGCTGTCAAACGACTAACATTTTTAATCAGATTAATCACAGCTTAAAAATTAATTAATCATGATTAATCACCATTCGAACTATGTCCAAAATATGCCATTTCTTTATGTATATTGTTGTGGGAATGGAAAGATAAATGAAAGACAGCCCACACACCTATCAATCATCAAACCGTGGGGTCTTATTTCATTACGTGTTGATTTCTATCAACACGTAATGTTGTATCGATGTATATAGACAGGGGTGCACATAAGTGGTACGCAGGTACGCATGCGCGGCAACAATCTGAAATGCGTACCGTCACTTGTGTGACAAAGCGCATTTGCGTACCGACGTACTTGTGAAGCTTTTCCAGAGGGCGGTTAGATCACCGGACGACAGAGTCGGTCTCCGTGTGCACAGACAGGGCTGCTGTTAACGTCGGTCTGTACAGCAGCACTGCGCTAAAACAGCTGATCACAACGTTCACATGCTCCCCCCCCTCCCCCCCC